GCAGCGTGCGATTCCGGCGATGGTTGCGGTGATGGTTTCTAGCTATTTGTGACTCGCCGAAATATTTCTAATGTCAATATATATTCGTCGAGATACTCGAAATATATTGGCCCTAAGAACTTCCAATGTATAACCTTATACTTCTATTTCGAATAATCTTGGTGGTGCGATTAAGTAAAACTCTCGACTCTCAATATTTATGAAGTTCTCGTTTTTCCTCTCTTTTCAAGACCTCAAAATCAGCACCACCAAGAGAGGTTTGGACATGGTGTATTTATGGCAAAATTTCAAAATTGGTCCTATAACTTGGCCACTGTCCAAAAAATCACCCTATATTGACCACTTTCAATTTAGGTCCTATAATTTGTCAATTTCATCAATTTTGGTCCTTTTTATCCGGACCCTGGATTAAAAAGTGACGTGGCATGACGTGTCATTTTTTTAAGGTTACATGGCGTGATTATGATCTACGTGGCACGTCAATTTTGGTCCTATAATTTGTCGATTTCATCAATTTTGGTCCTTTTTGCATGCCACGTCACTTTTTAATCCAGGGTACGGATAAAAAAGGACCAAAATTGATGAAATCGACAAATTATAGGATCTAAATTGAAAGTGGTCAATATAGAGGTGGTTTTTTAGACAATGGCCAAATTATAGGACCAATTTTGAATTTTTGCCGTGTATTTATAGCCTACATTATGGACCTTAGGTATTATATATGAGCTTTTTCAGCTAGGACTAGAAAACCTTATATCCTCCAACTCATTTCCCTTCTAGAAGCCCTAATCTCTTCCAACTTAATTACCCCTTCTAGAAGACTCTCACGTCTTCCATCCTTGGTAATATTCTAGAAAGAATTATATACTTCTAATTAGAAAAATTGTAGAAGATAAATTAATTTGTCATAATTGAATTAAATAATAAAATCCTCGACCACCAAATAGTCACCAAACCTCCAAATGAGCATCGAGACCCAATGACCAGGGAGGTTAGAAATCGAAAGTTCTGTCTCTAAGGTCGAATATCGAAAGACCTGCCTCTGAGGTCTAACACCGAAAGACCACTGAGGTCGAAAATCGAATGATCTACCTCTAAGGTCGAACACCGAATGACCACTGAGGTCGAAAATAGTAAGACCTGGCTTTGAGGTCGTACACGAAAGAACTGCCACTGAGGTCGAACACCGAAAGACTACTAAGGTCTAAAATTGGAAGACCTACCTCTAAGGTCGAACACCGAAAGACCTGCCTTTGAGCTCGAACACCGAATGACAATTGAGGTCGAAAATCGAAAGACCAGCCTCTGAGTTCGAACACTGAAAGCAGAATCACCAATATGGTCGAAAACCGAGTGACCCACCACTGAGGTCGAACACCAAAAGCCGAATGACCAATGAGGTCAAAAACCAAATGACCCGCCACTGGGGTCGAACACCAAAACCCGAATGACCACTGAGGTAAAAAATCGAAAGACCTGCCATAGGGGTTAAACACTAAAAGCCGAACGACCACTGAGGTCGAAAACTGAGTGACCCGCCAATAGTGTCGAAAACCGAGTGACTAGACGTCACACTCAGATCGAGCCTTGATTCCTAGAATAGATTTCTTCGTAATTCATTTTGTTATGTCGACATTCCTTTGATATCTCTCGACCTACTTACTTGGACTTCCATGATACTTTAACATAATTTTTCAATCTCTCCTCGAAGTTTTGAGTTTAGAAATTAGACTCATGTCTGTTGTTTTTCGACCCCCATGTTCGAGCTTTCTTCACTGAAAGATAAACCTTCTTGACCACCTCGTCCTCTCACCCTTCGGTTCAAAATTTGAAATTCAACCTTGTTGTCTATCCTCTCGAAAACTGAATGTCCTGATGCCACATTGAATTCGAAAATCAAATTCGCCAAAACCAAACCAAATAAACCTAACTATGTGAATTGCTCCAGGTGAAATCCCTCTCGACCTGCCACTGAGGTCGGAAAATAAATTCGACAAAATCAAGACAAATAAAACCCATCGACCTGTCACCGCGGTCGTCGAATAAGCTCTCTGAATCGCTCCAATTGAACTCCATCGACCTGCCACTGAGGTTGAAAAATAAATTTGATATAATCAAATCAAGTAAGAACCCTCGACCTGCAACCGAGGTCGTCGAATAATCTTCACGAATTGCTCCAGATAAACTCCATCGACCTGCCACTAAAGTCGAAATATAAGTTCGACAATACCCAAAACCACGTAAAGATCATCGACCTAGCACTGAGGTCCTCGAATAAACTCCTTGAATTGCACTAAAAGAACTTCATCGACCTGCCACTGAGGTCGAAAAATAATTTCGACAAACCTGAATCACGTAAAAATCATTGGCCTGTCACTGAGGTCTGCAAATAAACTCCGTGAATTGCTCCAACTAAACCCCTCGACCTGCCACTGAGGTCGAAAAATAAATTCGAGAAAACCAAATCAAGTAAAAGTCATCGACCTGCCTCTGAGGTCTTCAATAAGCTCCATGTCTTCAACGACCCAACACTAGGATCGACCATAGAGCCTTAGTCATGGTGGATTTTTGTCGTCGAACACGTCCACCCTCGAAGAAGTGGCCGATACATGCGACCATCCAGCCTCATGGCCTTAGTCATAGTGTATTTTTGTCGTCGAACACATGCCCACCCTCGAAGGAGTGGTCGATACATGTGACCACCCAGCCTCACGACCTTAGTCATGGTGGATTTTTTCTTTCTAGCAGCTCGAACACTTCGACCTGCCACCGAGGTCGAAAGAAACACACCAAACACCACAAGATAGAATAATAGTCGATCATTTTCATTAGTTTCACCAAATGTATATTTTCATCGAACGAGATAATCATAAAAAACATCAAGCATATTTTCGACATTCCTTTTTCTATTTGTACACGACGACTTGAGTTGTCTTTTGCTCCATGCTTTCCA